ACTGAAGGATCTCTCAAAAAAATGGATTTCAGGAGAGTTTTGAAGCGCTGGAACAAGCGAGTGGATGCAGGAGGGTAGTACTTTGAAGGTCAAATAAGTTTAACTTATTGTTCTATTTTTTAATAACTTGCAATTGACCTATTGTGGGAACTTTTTGACCCTACCTTGCATGTCATCCTATCAGCGAAGAAGAACCATCGAGGCAAAGCTTATCATTTGAAAACAAATTTCTTGCTGTGTCGGGTACTCAGAAATCATAAATTTCATTTAAATTTATTTTGCACTGAAAAGCAACACGACGGTTATTGGTGATGAGCCAATATAAAACACGTTTAAGTGACGAGAAAGACACCTGCAATACCCTCCCTCTCCAAATAGCCACACCAAACCGACGGGAAGACTATTCAGCCACGACTGATTTAACATGCCTCACCCTCTGTACACGGGGGATTTCCAATGATGCTATTTTCGAACGAGTAATTTAACAACGTAAGCAATGATCTCACAACCATGACCACCTGGCTACCGAGGCCACCAGAAATCAAGTAAAAACTGCCTTAAGGCGATTTGTAATTTTAACCCTTTCGCAACGGGTGCGTCATACATGCACCAGTCTCAAAACAACTTTTATCGGGTGGTAGGCCGTTCAGCGCACTTCTCCGTGCGACCGACCAATACTGCAGAAGAAGTAGGAAACGCGATTCACCAGTGGCTGCTGGTGACATTTGGGGTGGATTCATATGTGACATGTCGGTCTCTAAAATGTCCACCGTTTGTCAGTACCTCCGTCGAGAAAAGATTAAACCAAAGTAAGTGAAGACTATATTCGACCTGGCATCTCGCGCTCCGAACTTTCATTACATACCACCGTGAGTGCTTTGAGCCTCGATGAATTTAACATATACCTGCTCATTTATACAGTGGGTCTTCTATGGCAATAGAACTCGAACCCAAAATTGTTCAGATGCAATGACAGCCATCAACAGGGACCATGATAACTTAACTATTGAAATGGTTTCAATTACATTAAGGTATCCGACTAAATATATCCTAAAATTGTGAATTTTGCCAAAAATTGACAAATTTTAGTTATGATTTTATTTTATACGCCATCTTATTAACTTTATAAAAATATCAAGTTTATCATTTTTCGTTCACTAGAACAAACACTACAAGTCTTTTAGTAAAAGCAAACGCCATTATTTTAAGCAAGATGTCATACATTAAAATGAGTTTTACTCGAAATATGATTTTTTTTAAATACTCAAACGGGGCCAACGATTGCTAAAATATTTTGAAAATAATTAACTCAAATTTTTTCCATAAGTTCTGTATAATAGTAGAATTGTTTTAACCTTCGGATTTATCAATCACAGTTTTATTACAAAATTTACAGTCCCTTATGCGAATATAACTATTTTTTTTTAAGCGGGTTCATGTAATAACAAACATAGAGTGCTCTAGTTTTTGTAAAAAAGAAAATCTCTCTTATCCTGAAGGTCATTTCAAAAATGAATAACATAGCAACACATCAGGATTGAAAAACTGAAAATTTGTTTATAAATTTTTGGTCCAGAATGGGCCACGTTTATGTTACTTTTTGTCAATTTTTACCGATTTTTTCCCCTTTTAGTAATAATAATTTAATTTTCTCTTCTTAATTTTAGCATATTTTTCTTAAAATGTACTAAACAAAACTAAAAATAATAACAAAAAAATCCCCATATCTCTATTTTTTTAAAAAAAGTTGTCGCAACCGTAACTCGTTATCAACCTCCAACAAAGATACTCTCCTTCGAGTACTACAAAATTTGCCTGAAAAGCTCATATAACGTTAACAATATAACTCTACGCTTTAGACTGTTGCATTGAACTACAAGACAGATAAATTCTGTAGTAAAATGTGTATTAGATGTATATGTAATGTTTTCTTTGAATGATTCGCACAGTTATGTGTCCAGAGCAACATGTTAATGTAGAAGATTGTAACATGTTGGTGTTCCACCCCAACAATGCTTCTGCATTGAACCCTGGTGTCCTGAGTGGGCCCTGTATAAAAATTTTTGGAAATGGGAGCTCTTTTAAAGGGACTGTTGACATCATTTTACGATTTATTGCTTACACGTGTTCGGGCCCCTGTAGCTACGCCCCATTTGAACTATTAATTTAAAAAAGATTTTTCTGTGCTATATATTGTTTCTTTAAGTGGATGGTATTATTTTAGAAGCATATTATGAATGCAAAATAGAAATATGTTTATTCCCAGTTTTAGCATGAACATGTATTTTAATTATTTAACCAACCATATTTACAAGAATTTTTGAAGTTATACTTCTTTTGGGAGGTTAGGGAAAAAGGATGAGAGGGAATTTTTTCGATGCGCGCGCACACCGTCATGGATGTGACGAACCCGCCACGACATCGATGGGGGTTCACACCGTCTAGTAAAACTAAATAGTTTTCTGATGGGGAATGCACCTTTTTCCATTTGTGGAAAAAAAAGGGAAGGAGTTCAAAGAACTTATCGGCATATCAACAAATTCCATGTTAAAATCTAAATTTAAACAAGAACAGCTTTTAAATTTTATTTTACAAACTGTCTCATGCAAAATACACAGTACATCTCGCACAGCTATAAACATTTTAATGCCATTCAGAAAATTATGTTTAAGTGAAATATATTTTTCAGTGTGAGTGGCTACAAAAACAAATTCAACTCAGAATACGTAATGCGATTGCATTTAATCTCAATAGATCTAGACTTCGACAGTTTGGTTAAAAAAAGATTTTTGATTCATAGCAATATTATTATTAAACTATCTATGCTTGAATAGATGAAAAATAATGGGATAAATAATAATTCATTCCGTCTATTGATGCTGTATTTGTACGATATTTAGACAATGTTTCTACAAGACTATTTGTATCATACTTTAGTTCCATAAGCCTTTTGTAACTCACATGTCCACTGAACTCCCACCAATGGACGTGAATTAAACAATAAATATCAATATGCCTACGCTGCAGGCTAAAAATTGTCAACTATACAATCGTTAATTGTATAGTTTAACTAGATAATTGTCAATTATCTATAGTTAAACTTTATTTAACTAGATAACGCGTTATAATAAAACCTTCAATGTATTAAACACTTTTTTTATTATTCGTGTTGTTTTTTCTACAAACGTAGGATAACGCGAAGGATAGTTTTTAGAAAGATTTTTATCTTGTTACGGCAATGAGTGAGAGAGTGAATATTAACGTCCCACTGTTCAGCTACACGAGGGCTTTTGGGGACGGTCCGAGTAATTTTGAACCATGGTCAAGTGACGTGGACGACACCTGAGCTGGCACACCCCTCTCCTAACTACCACACTACACCAACGGGAGGACGCTTGATCTCTCGACAGATTTTACGTGCATCGCTCCCCTACACGGCGGGTCTTCAGTGGTACTGGGATCGAACTCATGACACGCTAGCCACGATCCGATGCCGAGACCACTCGACTACCGCGGCCACCTTGTTACGCCAAAGAAGTTTAACTTCATACGTGCGTACATAAGGACACCCCCCCCCCTCTTTTTCCCGTTATCCAGTGCATACAAAAAAAAACATAATATTTTGCAGAAAAATTGCAACTTCAACCAAAATTTGCCCTTTATCGTAACTAATAACCCAAAGAATTATATCATAAAATCACCATTAATGGATAAATTCTCTACAAACTCAAATTTAATCCTTTCAAAAGCTTACTATTGATATTAATAACAAATCAACATGCTTTTAAGCTAATTCACTCGGCGATCTTCAGATTTAATTTACACAAAACTGGATATTCCCCACTACACATCCACTGTTATTATCTTTCCACTTTGGCGAACATAACACAAGGTAAACCCAATCCACAAAATGCTTCCTTTCCAAGTAGAAATGATATATTTCACTTCCGCCGTACGAACATGTAAATTGTTTCACCTGAATGATTCCAAGTACCTATTCGGATCACGGAATGTAACGAAGCATTGTCGAAATCGTACCAGAGAATATGTCTTCCTCTCTATTTTGAGGCATTTCCTCGGCCGTAGTACATGATTAAGGGCGAGTTATTCATATTATACCGCGGGGCTTAGCTACATTCACTGTGTAGTTTCAAAGCGAACTAAATTAAAAGGCAAGATCGTGGTAAGTTGTAGCTGAGCGATTAAAATTAATTTTACTAAGCGTTGCATTCTTAACTTGACATTTACAGCAGTATTATGAGACTGAGTGCTATGACTGGGAAAATAATGTGAATGTAACTTTGCGAAACTATCTCTGTTTAGTGACCAATTCTGCTATGCAAATATTTTCGTAAAGTGCTGTAGCTCAACAACTATTTTTGATGTTAGAACTAACGTGTAATGCATAGAATTTGTACATTATGAATTGTATCAATTACGTTATGAGAACTAAATCAATTTTTAAATTAGTATTCCTAAGTTTACCACATGTTCCTGATTATCTTAACTTATTATTTTGAAGTTAGAAGAGTCAGATATTCACAAAAGAAAAAAATCAACTAAGTAAAAATGTAAAACTAAGTTGTAATTTAATTCGAAAATTTCAAAACTAGTTAAGGTCTAAGTTTAAATAATTCAAAGTTAAATTTGTTCCAGCTATTATAAAATGAAGTGCATAGATATATTGTAAGGAAGCACCTTTCAGTTCCTACTATGAGTTCACTCTCTCCCTTTATACATATTTTCTCTCTCTCTCCCTCTCTCTCACACACACACAATATATATATATATAAACTTGTTCAAATTTTCAATCGTTAATAAAATACAGTTTATTCATCCATTCAAGTTCAAATGCATATTTCTAAACTTGTAGTGGATTACATACTTGGTGTTAATGCAGTTTTTAAAATATTAGTTCATTAATTAAACTAAATTAATGAATAAAAAGAAAAAATAATAATAGTCCAATATCATATATAAAAAGGAAAATTGCTCATTGTGTCCCTGTGCAGTGGATGGTACGTTGGAGATCTAATCCAAAGATCGTGGGTTCGAATCCCACCCGGGATGGCCTAACTTCTGAGAATGTGATTTCTTTTTTACTGTACTATTTTATATACAAAAATAATGAAATTTAATTCACATGAATAAATAGTAACAAACAAAAATAATAGTGCAACACCCTATATAGAAAGGAAAATGGAAACATGCAAGGAAAATCACTTTCTTTTTTGCCACTTAATATTGTGATTATGCCATACGTATATATCTATAGTAATTCTAATTATTTAATAAAAAGTATATAACTAAAATAAAAATTTCCTTTCTTGACCTATGTAGGAATTTATATATATATAAATATATATAATCAAAATTTCTCTACAAAAAAGATGAATAAACATGATAAAACTGAAAATAATTGAAATAGTAAGATAACGAGGCAATAGATTTTAAATGGAAATGAGAAAAATTAAAATATAGAGATAAATATGAAAAAATATAAAAACATGGATTTTACCGTGTTATCAACATTGCTGACTTAGGACAGCTAAATGTAAAATAAAATTGGGGTCCAACATGTTTTGTGGCCAGCCAACCATCCTCATTTCTGTTAATAATACTGAGCTAAAACCTATTGAAAATAATGGATAGAAAATCTAAATCTATTATGAGAGAAAAAGGTAACTTACCTAAAAATATACACCTAAATTATTACCAAAAAATATACAACAAGGTATATATATTACCTAAAATGTATATATATATATTATTTGTTTTAACTTATTTTGAAGTTAGAAGAGTCAGGTTTTCACTCAAGAAAAAATTCAACAAAGGAAAAAAAAATGTAAATGTAAGACCAGTTGTAATTTAACTCGAGAATTTACAAAACTAGTTAGGTCTAAATTCAAATAATTCAAAGTTAAATTCATTCCAGCTATTTAAAATAATTGTGCGAAGATGTATTGTAAAGTAGTGCTTTTTTAGGGAATCTTATTCAAATGCAATTAAAGACGAAATTTAGGAAAATGAAAGTAAAATACAAATTTCAACTGTGCTAGCAGCAGAAGTAGAAATGATACGCAATGTGCTGACTTCGAGTGAAAGTGTACTGTTCATTGTATACGGAAAGAGAAAAATTAATTAATTTTGAAAAATGATCAATAAATAATAATTAACATGCACAAAATTTCAAGAAACCCAGCTCATAGTTATTTCCTAGATAATTGATATCAATTCGACCAAGTTCAATAAAGACTTAATTAGAAATTTATTTCATGAGTTAATATTATGTTTCTGACTTAATTTATAATTAAAACTTTTAATCATAAGCCGCCAATTAATCAATAAATAAAACTTTCTTCTGTAATTAAAATTAGCTATAGTTAACGCAATTAGTTAATAAAATAAAGAATTGTAATTATGAGGTTAGAAGATTCCTTGCTAATTATTTCTTTAATTAAAATACTTCACGAATGTGAAAATGATTCTTTTTAAATAATGCCACAACATTCGTATTCTTCAGTAACGTTATTTCTCAGAATGCAATTAATTGTCATGACGAAGAATTTATTACAGCGGTGCTCAAGCAGTGTAAATAATTGCTATATATAAAATTGTTGATTAATGCCTGTTAGCTTATAGAAATATTTTAAGTATCAATATAAACTATGTGAAATATTTTTTTTAATTTAGTTGCTGAACATTCTTAAATCTAAAAGTTTTGTTACTTAGTGGTTAATTGTAAATGCTAAACTTTATTTTCTAGGAAAAAGATATACAGCAGAATGTTAATCCAATTATTACCCATTGAAAAGATTCCCCTCTCCCCTCCCCCTTTTTATTTTACTGTGTCGTAGAGATCTAACAAATAGTTACTTATTTTTAAATTCTTAATCATATGATTATAGGGTATGTTGTAATAACCCTGATCGCGCAGGGGTTATAAGTGTTTGGGGGTTCGAATAAAGATAAGCCATAAACACAGTTCAAATTATAATTTATTATTTCTAACTTAAATTGAAAACAGTTCAGGGTAGGAAATGTATACTACTACCAAGTATAGGAGCAATTACACGGCAAAAAGAATACCAAATATTTTAGTATACTTTAATTCACTTACTCTTGGAACACTTTAGATGCATACGGTCTAATTTACCATAATTCCGTTCTTAGTTGTTCCACTTCCGGTCGTTATAATTAAGTTCTATCTTATTGACTAAATCGTCAATTAGCAATATTTGATCATTCAGCAATTACTTGTCGGCTATTTCTACTAAATAACTTCGCGTATCTAAAAGTCAATGCTTAAATAGAACCCTACATTTGAATAGCTCAAGTCTTATTTTTCGGTAGAAAGTTTTCAATTGAACAACAGTTAAAAAGAAATAAATTTTCCCCAAGAGGATTTGTGACTGGTTCATGGATAGACCCATTGCAATGTAAAAGATCCCTTGAGTATGACTTTGGCTCTGGAAATCTCGGAAAAATTAAATCACGGAAATATTTAGCATTCGATAATAGATTAAAATAAATTTGAGTGGCGAAATTTGATATTGAATGCCGCTACTAGATGGTGCCCATACAGAAATGGCTCTCAAACTTGAGGATTTGTCATGTCTGCAAAGGCCGGCGTGCAAAAAGGCAGCCATTTGAAAAACCTGTACTATAAAATCAATTGACCGGCAAGCAAAACATTTGAAAAATAAAATATCGTTTGGTGAATTATTCCGTATGAGACACATTACGTAGAACAAACTTCATTTGTTTGTGCTCCTTTTTAAATAAAAATTGTTTAATTAAAATGTTTAACACGAAATACATCTAACGTGAAGCTGGAATGTTAAAATATGAACAAAAGCCATACATTCGAGATTTTAAAAATTTTTATTCTATATTCACAGTGACTACTTTCTACAGGTATTTTTTCGTATTCATTTGCAGATTAGGGACTTTCAATTTTCATTTTAGTTTCTGTTTCAGTCTTTAATTGAATCGTTCATTCTTCGAAATAATTCTTATGTTTCTCGGATATCGTATTTATTTTCAGAAACTGACCATGTTTGTCATTTTAAAAAACAAGTAATAAAAAAAATATTTTAAGTCATTTCCCAGTTTAACAAAGAGAAATTTTATTTTAGTTAATTAAATTTTAATAATGAACTAATATTTGGGGGGAAAATGTTTTTATATCAACCACTAAAAGTATAAAGATCTGTTGGTGCTAGTTCAAACTTCGTCAGTGAGTCATATTAACGTCGCACTGTTCAGTTACACAAAGGCTTTTGGCGACGGACATCGTAATTTTGAACCATGGTTAAGCGACGTGGACGACACCTGAGACGGCAATCCCCCTCTCCTAACTGTCACACAACAACAAGGAGAGGACGTTTGAGGTTTCGACATATTTAACGTGCATATTAACCCCTACCCGGCGAGTCTTCAGTGGTACTGGGCTCAAACTCCGATACCTTGACCACTTTGCTACCGCGGCCACTCAAACTTCGTCAGAAATAAAGCAGAATAAATTTAAAATTAAAGAATAAAATTTAATTAATGAATTAATATTTGAAACAAAACCTGTTAGCATCGTGCCATCCACTACAAGTTTAAATAAATTTGTTTGAACTTGAGTGGATGAATAAAAGTATTTTATTAACGATTGAAAATTTTAACAAGATATATATAAATATATATAAGAGAGAGTGAACTAATAGTAGAAATTGTTTAATAGGACTCATTTTCCATCACAGTGCTTTAAAAGCTTACATGGTATGACTGTTACATTAATCGTACAAACCAAATGAGATTTCCTTATCTTAGTACGTCCTAACTAGAAATTATCTATGATTTGGTAAAAAGGAAAAAAATTTTCTATTGTGGTTTGTTATTTTAAAATGCATAAACAATTACATGAAAGTTAGGTCGATTCACTCGAAGATTCATATTCACCCCAACAAAGAAATTTACCTCTCAAGAAAGACCTGCACCACAACAGTTATATTAAACTTTCAAGAAAATATTTGTCAAGTTAATCAGGCTCATTTGGGATAAACAATATAAACATATAATTAAAAACTGTAATTTAAAAATTCGATTAACAAAATTCTTGATAACTCGGAACCATAGTTATTATTTTTTCTAATGGCAATTTAAAAACATACCTTTTGGAGACACGGCAAGTACCCAAATGTGAGAGCTATTTCAAGATGGCGCCATCTAGTGATGATCTCGCTACCCAATTCGGACGCTTGATTTAGTTTTTAATTCAAACACTCATCGGATGTTAACTATTGTCGTGAATTAATTTTGCGGAGAGTACCAAACCAAATAGATACTCAAAAGATCTTTTACATGTCACATAATCATATGGCATGCGTGTTTACGATTTTCTCATCCAGAAAATCAATTCCAGTCGGGGTCGAACCCGTAACCTTGAGCTTATGAAGCGGGTCCGCAACCCTAAGTCACTGGAGTCGCGACCAGGTTCGCAATTAATTAACTTCGCACTTGAAGCTACACAAGAGCTATTGGTGACGGACTTTGAATTTTGGTTAAAGGACGAGGACTACACCTGAGTTTAATATTAATGTTACAGGCTTTTTAGTTTAATAGATAAAATATCACAAGTGAGCAGTTTATATTTCATATTGTTCCAATATTGTTAATCATTTGCTGTCTTGATTAAAAACGTATATAATTTAATTCTATTAAGTTTGATTAAAAATACTTAATTTATGAGCATCTGATTCAATTTAATACACCTAAATTTGAAAATTACGACCTCAAAATAATTTTATTTAAAACCAAATATAACGTTATTACAGCGTGCATTTCAATTACGTTTTATTACGTTGTTTTAAAAAAATAAGCATTTTAATCTTTAAAACAAAAATGTATTTTGTGTTAAAATAATTTTACAATTATATTCCAGGCCTTCAAAAATAAGTAAAATAAACAAATTTTTAATTAAATACAATTATTTTTTAAAATTTAAGGAATTTTTAGGAGAAAAACTTGTTTTGTTGACTTCCAAAAAGTATTCAAAATTTCAAATATTTATTAATGCAAAT